TCCTGATGAATTTAGTAATGCCAACTCGCCCCACTTATGAAAAAAGATGCAATCCCGTTGTATATCTATGTTCCTGCCCCACTTATAAATAAAATCAATACCTATTAAAACCTTAGATACACATGTTTTTCCCGTTTGAATGGTTTTACACTAGTCATTTTGGGGCCCTTTATAGCTTACTGTTCGATGTGAGCCAAGCTAGGCTCCGTGTTGAAGACAGTACTTTGACCTATACATAATGGTTTTTCTTTTACACATTGTGACTTGGATGGAGAGTTGTCTCATTGGCACTCATACCACATCTTCTTATATCTATTTTGTAGTTCTTTTCTTTTTGTTGAAATAAAGCATAAAGAAGTGAGTATCAGTATTTTCTGTGACGTGAATGCCAACAAGCCCAACCAGTGAAAAATAGAAAATACCTGATGAATCAAGTTGAGTCATGCCAACTCAATGTCAATAATAATGATTTAGTAAATTTTCGTTTTTTTGTATTCTGTGTAGAAGATTTTTCTAGTTAAGTGGGGCGAGTTGGCAGACCTGAAATAATATATTCATCTAGGTTTACATTATTCCATTAAGTGGGGCGAGTTGGCAGGAGAAAAATTAACAGGATTTAACCCTTTTCACAAGTGGGGCGATTTTTTTTAAAAGTGGGGCGAGTTGGTAAACCAGTTTGGGGCGATTTTTTAAAAGTGGGGCGAATTGGTGAAAAAGTGGGGCGATTTGGTGTGGGGCGATTTTCCAGTGGGGCGATTTGTCCTGCTTCCTATCAAAATTATTTCATTTTTCCTTAGATGCTGTTTTTGGACCTGTACAGGAAGTTTTATCTAGCACTAATTGTATATTTTTATTGTTGATATTCACCCCATATGTACCAAGTGTTAGATTAGTTTTGTTGATATTAAAGAAATTTCTTGGTATTCCTAAACGGAAGATTTTATACACACAGAAGAAGAAGTATACCTTACAACAAAATTATTTTCATTTACCTGTGTATAATATAACGCAGGTTTCTTCAAAAGTGATGATTTTCTAAAAATTGTTTGAAATTTCACAGTGATATCATACTTTAACTTTGTTTAAGCCTGTTTATTTACTTTTGACTTAAATTATTTATCCTTTGTTATTTTTTATTAACTGTGTATTTGCATTCAGGTGTCACAGGTCAAATTATTCGTTCATTGTGTGTTAATTTACGTTTTTTGATTGAGTTAAGCCTTCCAATTGATATTTTATAGTGTGTTTTTCTATGCTGTGATGTTATACTATTGTTTCAGAAAAGGGAGAAGGTTTGGTGCCATTTAAACGTTTAATCCCGCTGCAAATGTTTACACCTGTCCTAAGTTAGGAATCGGATTATAGTAGTTGTCGTCTGTTTATGTAGTTCATACGTGTTTCTCGTTTCTCGTTTTTATATAGATTAGACCGTTGGTTTTTCCGTTTGAATGGTTTTACACTAGTAATTTTTTGGGGCCCTTTATAGCTTGCTGTTCGGTGTTAGCCAATGCTCCGTGTTGAAGGCCGTACCTTGACCTATAATTGTTTACTTTTATAAATTGTAACTTGGATGGATAGTTGTCTCATTGGCACTCATACCACATCTTCCTATATCTAGATACATAAAAACTTACTTTTAGAATGCAGTTATTTAATTTCCTAGCGAGCAACACCATCACAAATGTCAATGTTGATCTTCAGCGTTGTTAAAAATTCAACTAACATTGCAATTTCAATTGTGACGTCATTCGCGTACAGCTCATGTTTTATTGAAATTAGAACATTGTTTTGTTTCCAAAGCAAAAGTAAAATCGTCATATTAAAATTAAGTTTGATAAAGCCATTTGTTGAAATAGTAGCATGATAATTGATATCATGAAGAAGATAAAAATGTAAAGAAACCACTTTTATATATTTGAATAAACTACTGCATTGGTTTATCAGTGCAAACTAAAGGTTGTTCTTATTGGCATATTCTAAAGTCTTTGTTCTTTATGGTACAATTTTGCTGTTACAGTCCCCATGGTAAATTCATTTTCCCATGGGATTTTGATTTTTTTTCATTGGAACTTAAGATTTTCTCATGTGAACTCTAGCTTTTCTCATTGGGATATTGAATATTTCCTTGGGAAATTTTTATCTAAAAGTACATACGACTTTCTATGGTGACATTGTTGATATGTTTCATATGCCATTTATTTCTTCTTTTGTTGTCGTACTGTTGTTGAAAATATTTTAACAATATCTCTTAGGGTATACATGAAATCATCTACTCAGTTACACCTATATTTCTCAACATTACTTAAACACGTATATTAAATGCACTCCTACTAAAATATTTTTAAACATTTGTTATTTTCAATATACTTTTCATACTGTATAACATAATTTTCATAGCAAAATTCCAAAGAAACACATGTTAAATTTTGAAATAGCATCAGAAAACTTTATGTCGATTCGAAGTATATATTGAGCTTTTATCTGAATATATGAAATATGTAATTTACGATAAAAAAAAAGCACATACAAACAATATATTGAAAATTACTTAAAATCACTAAATATTAAGCAAGCAAAATTAAACATTACAAATAGAGCATAAGTATTACAAAATTACCACTTATCTGAAAAAGTAAAACGCAAGAAGGAGGAAATCAGATGCAAAATGAACTGAATAAACAACAAGTACAATATTTATGAAACTAGACGTAACAAATCTATTTAATATTTAGAAGATAAAATGCAACCAAAGTAAAGCATAAACATCACCTCCATGCAGAAAAGCGACATTCTAAACAATACCGGAACTCTTTACGACTCTTAAAATACGAAACTGTTTGCCCTCCTGAAATGTTTGACAAACTGTTTTATATTATAGCTGCAGCAAGTTAAAGTATTTTTTACCCTAACTTCAGGTCTTTTACTTGAACCAAATTCAGTATATTAGAATACAAGCCTGAACTATTATTAAGAATTCTAATATGACGTGCTTATTTCGCTTTTTAAACAACACCGTGATAAAATTCTCGATATATCTATACTTAGCGCAGACTCAGAGATGTACAATAATGACTGTTACAATACACTTTCCACGTAAATCAACATGTATCGTAACCTATGTTCAAACGCTATGCCGATTTCGCTGTGTCAAAAATTGCAATTGAAAACAATCTACAGAACCTTTATTCTTATTCTGATGCATAACAAAAATCATTAATGCATCAGTAATCGGAAAAAGTGTATAAAATCAATATAAAATAAAATTCTGTAAAATTAATGTTTTTGGCGCATTAAAGTCATTTCAAAACATTACGTCATACGAACGAAAACGCCAAAGTTGAAGGTTTTTTCCGTTGCGTGAACACTCCGAATTCGGTTGATATTGCATTAAAATATATGTTTTAAGGTAGGTTTTGTTTTATTTTCAATTTTATTGCATTATTCGCACATTTACTGATTTCAGCATGGCGGCTCCTTAGTTACGAAATGTCAACTGTGGATTTGATGATAGCTTAGGAGAAAAAAATGTAAATTAAAAATGGCAAATATTTGGGTCGAGAAATTAAAAGAATTAAACACATTTTTTTCTAGCGGTTATTTAAGAAATAATTCCTGCAAGCTATAGCTTTATTGGACATTTTTATCTTTATCTAACAGAGGGTAAAATTAAACATCCTTACACACGGCATACCCACCCTCGCTTAATTTTTTTAAATTATCGTATTTGTCCTATTAGAATCAAAATAGGACAAATACGCTCAGGATAAAATTCGAATATCACGGCCCAGGCCATGTGTAAATTTCCAACAAATCTATGGCTTCCATGAATTATTTCTTAATTTTTAATATGAACTTATATCATGTTTAAAAAAAAAGCTGTATTATTTATAATCTTAAATGTTTCTAATGTCATAGTTCTTATTCATTGATGTGCGAAGTACACATTTCAGCTATATTCAAAAGAACCTCCGTAGTATAAAATGGTAGCATTATCGTATCATTTTTTAATCTTAGGACAGTTTTCATTGACAAAAATGCCCTGCCAAAGCACACAAAAAAAATGATAAGTGCTCGGTTGAGAAGTGTGTAAAATAGCTTACAGAGTCTATTTACTTAACGACTCAAAGATTTTGATATATTCAGTTGATGTGATGCCTTCCTATTAGTGTATTTATAACTCAACTGGAAATCATTCTTGAATTTAAATGGCTCTTATACAGATAACAATGCATATTGCTTACGGCTTATGTGCAAATACCATTTGAAAAGGCTAGCTTATTTGTGCTCTGCCTCGTCGCATAATTGAAGTCCAAAATTACAAAATGTCTACTTTTATTTCGCCGAAACTAAAGCACTATTGATCGTTTCTCTGTTCGTACCCTTAAAATGACAATGTGTACATAGAAAGGTTTTACTAGAACTGCCTCCCGCATTCACAGAAAATCCGAGCAATACGATGGGTGCAACATGTGGAGCAGCATCTACTTACACTTCAGGATCATATCAAATCAGCCCGTGCAGGTTTTAAGCAGGATTTGTGTTGCTCAGTCCGGTTTTCTGTGTTTTTGCCATGGCAGCGTCAGCTCGTTTTCGGCTTCTACCTTTGATATCCTCTTTTGGATTTTTCGACTCTCCTTTACTATACAACTCATATTGAAATCATAACTTGATTCAAATTTGAACTTGATTTATGACTCATAGACATTAAAATTGAGAACGGAAATGGGGAATGTGTCAAAGAGACAACAACCCGACCATAGAGCAGACAACAGCCGAAGGCCACCAATGGGTCTTCAATGCACCCGGAGGCGTCCTTCAGCTGGCCAAATTGCATTTATTTGGTTTGTTCGTCTGTAGCTTTTTGGGAAAGATGAATTATCTAGTTTTGTAGGGTTCAATTACATTTCATTTCTAAATCTGGCAAAAATGCACCAACAAAATTAATAGTTCAGTTTTGGTAATGACAGTAGCTTTAATTACTTTTCTGCTTTTCTTTATAGTGTTAAAATATGGATGTTAGTGACAAAAAGGATCTTTGCAGTCCGTGTGCATTCAAAGACAAGACAAAAGAAGCTGCAAAATGGTGTATTGACTGTAAAGAGCCTCTTTGTGTTAGCTGTTATGAACACCACAATGTACATAGATCTTCAAGGAGTCATCATGTAATATCAGTAGAAAGCAACCAAATGCTAGAATCACTACAGAAACGTCATAATGAGTACTGTGAAGGTCATGATCAAGAAAAGGACTTGTATTGCTCCACACATAGTGAGTTTATATGTCTGACATGCACATATACTTCTCATAGAAAATGTGAACCCGCTGTCCGATTAAGTGATGTCACTAAGAATGCTAAAATGTCACCATTTGTCTCGGTGTTAGAAAACAATATCATTGACATCATGGAAGAATTAGAAGACATTATAAAAGATCGAGAAAACAATAAATTAGAAATTGAACAACAAAAAATTGAAATCCTAGATACTGTTAAAGATGTTAGAAAATGCATAGATGCTCAGCTTGACCAGGTAGAAAATAAAATTACTGAAGATTTAAAAGCAAAATTAGAAAAATATAACATGGAAATCGATAAGACTATTAAGTTCCTTACCGATCATTTGAATGGATTTAAAAAAATACACGAAAAGATGCATGTTTTGAAAGAATATGCGTCCGATACGCAAACGTTTATAGGCGCAAGAGACCTCGATAAAGATCTTCATTCCGAGGAAGTAAGGGTAACATCGTTTTTAGAGAAAATCCAAAGCATCACTATTGCCATTGAGAAAAATCCAGAAATATTTGCTACGTGCGGGAAAATAAAGTCATTCGGGAATATTCAAGTTGAGACATTAAATAAAGGTTACTGTATTTTCAAGAAGATCAAGGGACAATATCCCATAGACATTCAATCAAAAACTATTTCTAAATTTAGCAAAGCTTTGGAAATCAAAATACCACCGAGAAGCATTATAGATAATTGTGCCATACTTCCCAGCAAACAGATGATTTTTGTAGATTCACAAGCTCGTAATAAAAGATTAATAATTTTTAATGAAGACGGTACTCATGATCGCAATATTAAATTGTCCAGTAGGCCATTTGATATCGCCGTGATTGGCAACGACAAACTTGCCTTGAGTTTCCCATGGAGTACACGCAAAAGAATCGAAATGATCAATACAACCAATAATCGATCGGAACACGAAATCTTTTTCAAAAACAAATGTTTTGGTATTTCATACGATAAAGGTAGATTGTTTGTTATCGTCAAGAATGAAGGGATTTTGATTATGGACTTGTGTGGGCAGTTATGGTCTTCTTTACCGATTGAAGGTAAAGGAATATTTTATATTCATGTTAAAAATGACAGACTTTACTGTTCTGACAATTGCAATGACACAGTGCAGTGTTATGATATGAAAGGATGCGCTCTTTGGAAACATAAACATTCAAATTTAAGATCACCAATGTCCATATCATCAAACGAAAATCACATTTTTATAGCAGGGTGTAAGTCAAATAATATTGTGTCAACTAACTTGAACGGGAACATTGCCAAAGTAATTTGTAACAAAAACCACGGGATTAAGAATCCAACAAGTGTATATTTTGAAAAACATCTTCTTTTAATGTGCAATGGTAAAAATGCCCAGGCATTTTTATACAAGGAAAATTAACGAGTTAGTTTATTGTTCTAATGTGTAATTCTTTTCAGTTATTATACTTCTTTGCTGCTTATGGTTATTGTTATATTAGAATACGTAGAATAATATAACATATCATTAAAAGTTTTGTTCCTTTAGCAAACGTTTAGATCATTAAATACGTAATACATAAAAGGGATATCAGGAATCGCCTAAACTACCGCACAGTAAAACAGACCGTATTAACCAGTAACTCAAGACTCCTCCGAAAAAAGACATATACACAAAGACAAAAACAACGACCAACACAGTATAAATAGCCCAACGTGGTTCAAACACAAACCTCCCACATGTGATATGCCCTTTTAAACCAATTATCGTAAAACTAAAACAAATAATAAAAAGCCTGAGCATTGCAGCAACCAACAGTGTGACCGCTGACTTGAACACAGAAATAAACACCTGCACACCATTTCGAAATAAACTCATCATAGATACCAGGATTTGAATTTTACACGCCAGACACACGCTTCCCTTAAAAATGATTCAAAAGTGACGCTCGAATAAAAAAAAGTGAAAAGTACAAAACTGTAGAGCATTGGGAACAAATGCCGGGTCAAAACGTGCTCGCTTCCTGCTGTTGGTTGGATACTGCAGTGTTGGTTGGATACTGCCTCTCAAGAAAAAAAAAAGATCAGAGACAACGGTCCTTACAGGTTTCATGAAGTCTCATTACAAAATTTAATTGAAATCGGCAGTATTTATGAGAGGTCAGAAAGTATTTAAAATTGTTAAAATGTGTTCATTCATGTAACTGATCAAAACATTCCTACAATATACAAAAATGTCCAGAAGCATAGACTGTATCACATTGGAAGGAAATGCTGATTTATGTTCAAAGAGTACTACAGCGAATGAATTTAAAGTATCAGACAACCAATGCATACGCATATGAATTTATTACCTTTTAATTTGAAAAAAAAATCGGATGTTAAATATCGGATGATAATTTATATGACACAGTTTCTCTAAATAGTCCCGTGTTCTCTCAGTATACTGAGTGATATTATCTATAGATTGCGGAAACCTAGACTTGATAAATCCAAATTTATTTGTTACCGAGATCGTCTTTGTTTACCTTGATGTCAAAATTTCAAGAGAAAATTCTCAACATTTTTTTCTAGAACTTATCTTTGACTGAATAAATAGCCAATGTTTTGTGTTAAAAGTTCTCTTTCGCTTATCTCAAGTAGCTTGTTCTAATTTAATGCATGTCATAGTGGTATTACAAACAAATCTACTAAATCAGCTTGCCTGATGAATTTTATGTAAAGAAAATTGTTCATTGCTGGATTTTGTATAGCAATCTATAAAATATTTTACTTTTTATTAACTGATCGCTGTCTCGTGTAAATTTTAGTTAACTAATCGCTGTCTTATATACGTTTGCACGTGTACTCTACACCTCAAGTTTATTTTTGTTAACTTCTAACTGTCTCATCTTGGTTTACATCACAGCTCATGTTTATTTTGGTTAACTGATGACTGTTTCATCCACAAATACACTATATCGCATGTGTATTATGGTTAACTTACCGCGTTCTAATCCACTTTAACATCAATTCTCATATAAAATGAGGATGTGGTATAATTTCCAATGATAAAACTATTCATATAAGAATATGGAGATGTCGTATGATTGCCAATGAGACAATTATCCACCAAAGTTCAAATGAAGTGGATGTAAGCAATTATAGGCAACACGACGGATGTCAACAATAAGAAAAACCCATACCGTATAGTTGACTATAAAAGGCCCCGATATGCAAAATATAAAACAATTCAAATGAGAAAACTAACGGCCTTATTTATAAGAAAACAAGAAAGACATGAACAAACGACAACCACTGAACTACAGGCTCCTAACTTGGGACAAGCTCATGAAGAATGTTGCAGGATTAAGCATGTTTGCTGGCGCCACACCCTCCCCTAACCTGGGACAGTAGTATTACAATACAGCATAAGAACAAACCATACAAATCAGTTTAAAAGGGCTTAACTCATCAGATCGACCCAAAGCCGCAAAATATCTTACAAAATCACAGACACAGGGAATATATACATCCCTCAAAACAAAAAAGACACAAACTATAAATCTGAGAGAATTCGCAGTTAGTGACAGCTAGTTCAAAGCCAATAACAACTAATAAAAAAATCATGAACCTAAGATTAAAGTATCAATCAGTACACATCCAACATCCAATGGATTTAATTTAGCGTAAAGATGTAACAGTCAGAGAAAACATCACCTTGTGCAATGCCAAAATATAGGTATTGACAGATTGTAGATCTAATCTAGGTTTTCACATTCCTCTCTACAGTGCCCAAAATATTTTTTAACGGGTCCATCAATCCATTTCATTCCCTCATTTTTGTATTTAACCGATTTTAGCTTTTCTACTCATAACCTCTCTGTATTATTTTTTAATATTTATCAAGATTTCATGTTCATTCATGGCTAATTAAATGTCGTATTTGGAACAACAAAATAAAGTAGTGTCGTCTGCCAGTTGCGAAATTTTTATACTACGACTTTAGCCATCCAGTTTGGTTTTGATATCATTGATATCCGTACTGTTTTTAATCGTGACGCCATAATTTCTACCAATTAAACAAATAGTAAAGCCGATAAACTACATCCTTGGCGTATACCCATGGTGTTTTTGAAGTCATCGGATGTCCAACCAATTGTTTATGACACATGTTTGAATATCGCTGTACTAAGTTTTTTCACATCACTACAGAATCCAAAACGTGTAATCAATAATATCTTGTATCAGATATAAAGAAAAACAAACAAAAAAACAACAAAAAATACAAACAATAAATCTATTCTTTACATATCAAGTCTGATCTTCTTTAGTAATCTTCGGTTAGATCTTTTTTAATCGTGCTGCTTTACGAAAGAAGTTTGACTTTAATATTATAAGGAATAGGACAATAATTATTTAGTGACAAGTTAGGAATCACCCTTTAAAAATAAAAGTGTTAATACACGTGTACAATGTATGTGTAAGTGTTTGATCTTTAATATATTCAATATAAAGAATATTTACTACTCTGTGCTTTAATTATCCCTAAATTTTTTATAAATTTTTACTGTTAACCCGTCTAATCTAGGAGATTTATTAAGTTTCTATTTGTAAATGTCATCTGCGCATTCGTCTGTAGTATTCCATCGCATACTGATTTATAATTTTCATTCATTTCTTACTATAGCTTTTTCTCAAATATATATTTATCGTTTGACGTTTTGTCAGGGCTTGTTACAATACTCTTTAATACTACAGAGTATACCACCTTGATCTGAAATAATCTCGTTATTTTCCCCTTTTAATTTAATGATTAATTTTTTACCTGTCTCTGTTTTTCTAATCTTAAAAAGTATGAGATATTTTTTCCCCGAATTCAAACCATTTCTCCTGTGATCTGGTTTGAAACTCTTTGAAACTGCTTTTTGTTTGTAAATTTTGGTATAATATCATCCTCAAATTCTTCAATATCCTTACCTAAAAAGTTATTCTCAGATTGTTGCTCATCTCTGCTTTTCAATGTTATGTCTAAGTTTTTTTTCGAGTGTTCTTAAATTTTCTCTTGTAAATTTTGCTTTAGTTTTGCAAAAACTTGTTGAGCAGTAGAATCAATAACTGCAGAGGTTTAATTTTGCAATGTTCTACTAGTGGTATGAAGTCTGAATCCCATCAATCCTACTAGCCTGTGATTTATCTTTTCTTCGCCATTTTTTTGTTGTTGTTTATTTTTGTTTAAATATCTTTAAATGTCAGTTAAGTTAACTTATTGGTTTTTATCAAAGATTTTTAACTTTTTACTGGTGGACATTTTCCACTTCTGAGCGAGTATTTTATCTTTGTATCCCTTTGATTATAGCATTGAAATTTTCACCTTTTATTGTAATTCATATCCCTTGTTCTTTAATATGCTATTCACCTTTTTAAAAAATATGTTTCTATTAGTTTTACAGCTAGTTGCATATATACACATGAGTGTGAAAACACTTTAATCAATTTCTATATCAAGTACAACTAATCGTCCAACTGCATCGTCAAATGTATTCATCAACTCAGTGAATTTTTTTATGAGAATAGCCTTGCCCCTGCTATAGGTTGTTTCGTGAATGGCAAAAAATATCAAATTCTGAATTATTTCTTATTTCTTTTTCTATGTTCTCTTCAAAATGATACTCTTGTAAAAAAAAAGGCCAACAATGTTGAGATTTAAAGGGGCCTTAACTATCAAATTCATGTTCACCGATTTGACTCAAATTCGTATATTTGATTTATAACATACTAAAATGTATATCCAAATTTAATTAGTCTACAATAAACAATTAACAATGCATGGGCTCGATATTATACACATCAGAATTTCGTGTGTATTTTAGTCTAGACGCCATGTAATTTATCATCGAGATGACCTCCGAAGACTGCCGACGGTCATATAACCCGATATAAACATAAATATAAATATAGATAGATAGCGCCTACGTGCAGTTGGATTTTTTCTAGGTCTGTTTGATTTCATGTTTAAGGTTAAAAAATAAGTTAATCATTGTTTTTCCCTGTAAAGGGATGTTATTTTTTTTTTGATGTAATCAGTCAACAAAACGGTTCACCCTTGTTTCACTTTCAATGTTGACATTATTTTTCTTTTAATAGCTGAACACACATGTTACATGTGTAACCCATCTCCAGCTAAGAGGTTAGATTGGAGTTCACATGAATACGGAGTCACATGAGGTCGAATTATTCACTTGTCAGTTAATAATACATCAGCAATTTGAATTTTTTGTCTAAATCGTACCTAATGCCCCTATATCCATTCAATTACTCTTTTTATTCTGGGTTTATTTTAAGTACCAATTACATTTAAACTAATTGAGTTTATGAAAAAATTTAGATGCCATTTTAAAGGATAATTTTCTATTTTTGTAATAATTCCTCACATACCTGTACATGTCTACAAACAGTTAAATTAAAAAAGTATATATTATACAGAAAACGGAAATGTACATCCCTCTATTTCTACAAACATAAATAGGAGAATTAATCATGCTACATGTGATAACCGGTGACCGAT